GGGGGGGAGCTATTAGCCTAGAAAAGACAGACAAATCTCAGATTTATCATGGGTTCAATAAGCTTGTGTGGACTACCCTGGAAACAGGCCGCTGTTCCTATAAGAAAACGTTATTGCTTAAACTGTACTCACTGATATCTCTCCAGTATGTGCTGCTCTTTGGAGGAGGAGTTGAGGTTCCCATTCTTCTACAACAGACGACACAATAAGCAGCCAGGGACATTCTGTGTATTTAGAACAATTATGATAAATTTAGTTTAGCGTCTAATGAAAAACATTTCTTTTAATCATAAGACATGTCACAATCACAATGCATCAGGCATAGGGTTAGATTTTTCAAGACCAGGAAAAAACTTTTTAATTAAAAAAAATATATATTTCTCCCTTAAAAACTTAAAGCTGACTTATTAGAATATTTTACTAGTACTTTGGTTATTTTTCAAACTGTGTCCAATTGTGAACAATGATTAATAAGAAACTGGAAAACACAGGTTATTAATCAGAACATCAATATAGGAATTTGCCCTGGCCGAGTGGGTCATCCCGTGCATCAAAAGTCGTGGGTTTGATTCCTGGTCAGCGTACATACCTAGGTCACGGGTTAGATCCCCAGGTTGCAGAGTGCACAGGAGGCAACCAACTGATGCTTCTCTCTCTCCCGTCCTCTGTCTCTCTCTTAAAAAAATAAAAATAAAAATAAAAAATCAATAATAATGTCAATATAGAAATTTAAAATTTTAATGTCTTTTTAAAAATATATATGCATATACTAGTAAGTAGATATTATTCACTTTTGATGGCTGAAGGCCCTACAGAAATGAAAAGCAACTCTGAAGAAAGGTCTACTTAGGACCCAGGGAAGTATTTAGCTTTTCTCCAGCTCCTTCAAGATGGTCCCCAACACTGTTTAAAATCTTGGACACTTGTTCACTGTTGGCACCCTGTCAAAGGAGAACTGTTGCTCTACCGCTTCACCAACTGAGTAAAGATGATCTAAATATGATGCAATGGTTTCTAGAACAACTCAGTATTCTAGAATCATATCAGATTCTCTTTGGATGAGACCTTTTTTTTTTTCCTTTCTCTTGGATTAATGTGGAAATGGTCCTTTGGTTCAACATATAAAAAATTCCTAGCAGTTTTATAGAGATTACTGGGAAATTATTTGATGTACATGTGTAAGAAATATGTTAGATAGCACAAAATAAAAAGCTTTAAGATTTTTTCTTGTGATTCCAGTACATCAATTGATGATTAAGCAAACTAGTTTAGGCAACAGGTAAACTTGTAGGTGACTGTTTTAAAGGTCTATATTCTAGATCTCAATCCCTTCACTTCCATGGGGACCTTGATTCATCATCTATCCTTCTCAATCTTCACACATTCCTCCCCCTAAATACTGGATGTGCAATGTTCTCTGAAGTATAGGGTGTCCCAAAAAAATGTATACACACACTTTGAATAATCATAAAGGCAGTGTTTATTAAAATACATTTCATTTTCAAAATTGAGCTATCAGCTGTTAAAGTGTATATACATTTTTGGGGACACCAAAAAATATATTTACCAACAGTTCTGCCAATTTCTTTCCTTACTATTGCTTCCTATCTATTACTTCCTTCTGGGTTCAAATCATTCCTGATGAAGGCCTGTGTATAGTCAGCACCTTCAATCTTAGCATATCTGAAAATGCTGTTTCACCTTCTTTCTTAAAACAGCTGATTTAGAACTCTAGATGAACAGGTTTCCTTCAGCACATTAATGATATTTCCACTGATATTTCATCTGATATTTCTCATTGTTCATGGGAAATCTGTGGTAAATTTGTTTCTTTGTAAGCAAAGTAATAGTAATGAGATTAGCCCTAGCCGATTTGGCTCAGTGGATAGCGCGTCAGCCTGCGGACCAAAGGGTCCCAGGTTCGACTGAGTCAAGGGCATGTACCTTGGTTACAGGCTCCTCCCAGGCCCGGGGCCTGGTTGGGAAAATATCCTCGGGTGAGGATTAACCACAAGGGGGGAGGGGGGAACGCATGCTCTGGTCTCTCTTTCTAAAAAAAAAAATTATAAAAAATAGTAATGAGGTTAAGAGTATTCTATGAAAAAGCACACTATCTAGTTTCAAGACAATCTGAATTGTCTTATTATATTATGCTTTAATATCTTGGGACCTTAAGGGCCCAGGAGGTGACTGCCCCTTCAGGGCTAATTCCTAGAGATTGCAAACATGCTTATGAGCACTCTTTTCTATGCAAACTAACCAGCATTTAGTCCATACTCCCAAGCAAGGTCTTTATCTGCCACACAACAAGCCAATATTCCCCCTGCCCTAAATCAACGTGGGGCCAGGTATCTGATAAGTAGGGATCACCCCTAGAGCCCAGACCCTGCCAAAATTATTCCAACTACCCAATCCTAAACTTGTTCAGCTTGCCTATCCTCTCTTGTCCACTTCTTCCTGAGAAACCCATACAAAGGCTCTGGCCCATGGTTTCCCCTCCCTCCCTCCCACCTCCTGACCAACCCTCACGTTTCCCCCTGTGGCTCTGTGTGGAGTGACATGCCCCTCCTCTTGGGGAATTCTAAATAATAAACTTCTTTCAAAGCAGTTGTCTCTGGGTCGGTCATCTTACCATACATGATTAATACAAAATCCTGGATACATTTTAAAACACAACTAGACAAATGATTATGGGCTAGTTAATTAATTTCTCTGCATCTCACTTTCCTCATTTATAAAACGGCAATAAGAATAGGACGCTATAAAGGATTGTTATCAATGTTACATGAGTTAACACAAGTAATGCACACAGAAGAGTGTCTGCTGTAAGTACTCAATAAATGTTATTCATCATCATCATGATTACTATATTCCATCTGGCAATTTAAAGATATTCTCTTTGCTTCTGATGTTCTTAAACTTCTCTACGTTTGGATACGGGTTTGCTTTTATATATCCTGCTCAGGATTTGGTGTGCTCCTTCAATGGTAGAACTTGTATCTTTCTTAAATTCTGCGATATTTTTAATAACTATCACTTAGAACCCCTTTCTGTTTTTCCCTCTGGTATGTATGTTAGACTTTCTTACTCTACCCTCCTATTCTAATCTCAACTTCTATATTGTTTTTTCCTTTTTCTCTCTCTCTAGCATGCACCAAGGATTGTTTCCCTAAACCTATCTTCCAAGTGGCTGTATTTAGCCTCACATTCAATCTACCCAGAGTATTCCAACAACTTTTTCTTGTTTCTAAAATGTCTAATCAGCTCACTTCACACTTGCTTGCTATTTGTTACACGCTGTCCAGTTTTGTCTTGAAGTATAGCAGATTAGAGCAAAAAGCCACGAGTATTCCTTTTCCTGTTTCCGTGTTCGTTGGTAGTGCCCCCCACCCTCCAATACTGACTCTGGACTGG